TGTATCGCTAAAAAAGAAAAAAGGGAAAAGGCAGGCCGGGATGAGAAGGGAGGTCGAGGGAGGGGTCGCCCTGTCCTTCTGCGCTGACCTTTGTGTTTTTGGAGAGGAGGCTGCAGCCGTCCCGTGCAGACGTTTGCCAGATGTTGAGCGCGTTCCCTCCACCCGGCTCAGCCGAGGCTGATCCCAAAGGCATCCAATGATCCCTGCTCGCCCCCCCGCCCGCTGCCTGCACCCCCTAAGGACCCCATTTCTCTGCCTGCGTTTCCACTGCCGGCTCATATTGTCCTCAGAAATGAGGTGGGGGCTTCCAGGTGAGTTTGGTTTTGGCAGAGCCCTTTAAAGAGGAGCAGCACGGGCCTGGGAGGGCCATCCGAGACGGTAACTGCTCTGAAAGCCACAGGGCGGCTCCCCCAGGCACAGGATAGTCCAAGGTGTCCCACAGACACCGGTGCTCTCGCTGCAGGCATGGAAGGAGAGAGTTCCCCGCACGGCTCGGAGGGATGGACTGATGCAGAGGTCGCTGGAGAAGGGCATTCACTGCCAGTGCCTGCACGAGAAATCTCTCTATGTTTTACAAAGGCTGGAAAGAGCCAGGATTAGTGAGGAAGAGAAGGTTTAGGTTGCAAACATCCAGAAAGACCATGCAAACCTGGGAGCCACAGATCTCTGGGCACTGGTTCCAGAGCCGTTCTGCTCATGTGTTTGTAGCACTTGTCAGGAGGCCCCACACGTTCCAACCCACCATACCTGAACAAGGCTGGAGATGCCAAGGGATGAGGTCTCCTTGGCTCCTACTTGGACTCTTGCACTGGAGTCCCTTAAAAGAGCATCTGGGACCTATAAGGTGGTCCCTTAAAAAAGCATCTGGGATGCCCTTTTTTAAGTCCCTTAAAAGAGCATCTGGGACTATATAAGGTGAATATCAGCCTTAATAGACAAGGTCTAGGAGAGGACCTGCAGGAGTTGCCAGGGCAGGGCATGGGGGAATCGCTACCCCATCATCCTGAGCCCAGTGGGACCAGTAACCCTCTCCCAGGATGGGGAGGACCATGGAAATTAAAGAAAATAGCATTGAGTGGGAGGACAGAGCAGCCAACAGCTCCAACAGAGCTGAAACTTCTTGGAAATGTGGAAGAGGCAGAAATAACATTTCCATGAGTAAAAAGGGAAGCTGCTTCTGACAGTCGCCGGGTTTGGATGCCCACGGTGGGTTTAATAGTTCTCCCTTCATTCAGGCAAAACGAACTGTAGCTGTAGCAGAAGCATCAGAGAGTTTTGTTTCTTTGTTATGCTGTGAAGCATTTGGTCCCTGTGCCAAAAGCATCCTGATAAACCCTGTCCATCCACGGAGAAGGCAGCGCTCCCGGCTTCCAGCGTGGGATTTGCAAATTCAAGGCAAACTCGGGCCAGATTCAGTGGTTTCAAATACAAAGCTCAGGAGCATTTGATCAAAACAACTGGAACGAATCCGACCAAAATAGACACTGTTCACATCAGTTTGATTTAGAAAACCAAAGCAAACCGATACAGGCATCTGTCTGGCCCTGATGAGATGCAGACCACGACCGTTGGAGCAACTGCTCCGGATGAGATTATGCAACGATAGGGACCACTGGCTTGGAGCAAGCAGGACAATGTGTTCCCAGCTCCTGTCACCAGTTCAGGGCTTCCTTTGAACCGTCAGTGATGGGGAAGAGGTGTTCATAGGAGGAGATGTTGAAAAAGTTTCATGGAAGTCACTTGGGAACCGAGAGGAGCTGTTTTGCACCGGCCCAAAACGAGTGGTAGTATTGAGGTCTTACCAACACACACCTCACACCGGGTGAACAGACCAAACCAGAGAGCCCTGCTAGCAGCTTGGGAGATGCTGGACACCTGGAGCATAAGATTTCCAGGTTGGATGGAGAAAAGAAAAAAAAAAAAAAAGACATATGTGGTTCTTTAGATGGTAAATTTTCACTTCCCTGAGATAGTCCTAAACTGGTCAGGATCAGATTCAACAGAAAGTCCCGGTGACTGCAGAGAACACACAAATTGAGCCTAAGCATGTCATTATTTTCTGGTTTAGGCTGGGAAAAGGGGATGTGGCCATGGGGAATGGCAGCATTCAGAGCCAGCTCATGTAGGGAGGGGACCTCAGCATCCCCCCGGGGGACCATCAGCCCCTGGCACCTGGAGCGGGTGCTGCGGGACAGCCTCCCTCAAAGGGTGCATGGCCTGAGACATGAATATTTTTAACTTCCAGAAGGTGGGGAGACCACATTCCTTATCTATCTGTGCTGGGGACAATTTGCTTTTCCAGAAAAACATCCAAGCCCTGCAAAAGGCTCCGAGCTGTTGGACACCAGGACACCTCCAGCTGCCAGAGATGTGACGTTGGTTGACACCATCCGAGCGCCGAGCAGCAGATGTTTGCTGCCTGCCACTACCCTCCCCACCATTTTCCCTGGATCTCAGCTCCCTGGCAGCAGGAACAAATCCCTCCAAGCAGGGTCATTCTCCGCATCAGCCTCCAACCACCTCCCTGCCCGTGGCGAGAGCCCTTCTCCAGCTGCCCCACGCCGCCGCAAGCTGCCATGGCAATGCTCAATGGGCAAGAAGAGATGCTACCAGCCATATAAAAGCCCCTACCCCACTTTACGAGGGTTTCACCTCCTTTTAGGCAGCACAACCTCCGTGTCCTCTTTTCCTACTCCAAGGGAAGGCTTTCTCTGAATCCTCTCCCTCTCCTTGCAGATCCCGGCCCCGTGCTGCAGCGCAGTGAGCTGTGCTTTCCAGGCACACTCTCGCTTCCCAAATAGACCGGCTTCCTGGCAAAGTCCCCACTGTACAGCGTGTCCCTTGCAACCCGGCCGCCAACCACCCCACGCATTCCTCCTCCTTGCAACCAGGACCTCAGAGCGATAAGGATCTTTGCAAGGCTCTCCAGGGGAAAAGGATGTTTTGGCTCGGAGATTCCAATGGAAAGCAAGGACAAAGCAAGCTCGGAGGGAGTCTGGCACCTGCCGAGCTTCACTAAGTAATTCCAGGCTCCTGGGAGGACCTGGGCGTGCTGCTGGAGCCGGGCACGGGACGGCGATGGGCGGTCGGGGCTCCTCCTTTCCTTTCCTTGCTGGAGGAAATGCTTTGACAGCCCTAGAAGAGCTGTCTCCAAAACTCCCCCAGGATGGGGACTGGGGGGGCTGTGACAGCACCCACCATCCCCCCTGCTTTGCAAGGACCCCACCCTGAGGGCAAGGCTGGCACTGGGAGGCGATGAGCCTTGTGGCAGGGAGAGCTGTGAGCTCCCGTGTCTCTGCCCAACCATGGGTCACGCTCAGCACCCACTACCCTGCCCCATCCCCCCTGCACCCACCCCCCAGGTCAGCCTCTGTGGGGGCAGTGGGACAGACATCCCATATCCCAGGTGGATGGGCACAGCCTGCAGAAATGCCAGCTTGGCATCTGTCTCCTGCCAA